GGCCCTGCTTCCAATGTGTGAGCCATTCTGATGCTCTTAGAAGATTGGCTTTTAGATCAAATTAAGCACCTATGCCCCTGGGTCATTTAGTGCCCTAACAAGCATGCCGACAAACATGGAGCTCTGCTGAAAACGTTGCTCTTTTGTTGACTGAAAACCTTTAGATAAAGTGAGGGTCAAAGAAAAAAGTAAAAGAGAAAGGAGATTAACTGTTTAGCCAACAGTCCCTTAGTCAAACACCACAAAAGCCTCTGCACAGTAAGTCAAATTCAAAGGAGGCTCTCACTTTTCTTTGCCTTCTACATCTCTCTCTTAGTCTCGGTCTCAGTGTGTTTAATCGCAGGGTGAGCGATTGAGTGGTTTTAGAAAATACCGATGCTTGTTTTATGTACAGAAAAGTAAGAGCACCAGCGGCCCCTTTGAAGCCCTTTCAAATTTATTGTTGTTTTTCCAGGAGTTTTTTTTTCAATTACAGCTCATTGTGAGTGGATCTGCTCCTTTGCTGTTTTTGGAGAGGCTTTACATTTTTTGTCTGGAAACAACTACTGCCCTCTCCTCTCCGTCAGATGAAGGTAGAGCATTTATGGGAGAGAGTGGGGGGATGTCTTCAAAGGTTAGAGAGAATCTTTTGTTGGCACCCTCTTCTTCTGTATTCTTATTTGATTCTTGCTAAGAGAGCAAAAATCAAACCCTGGGATTTGCAGATGGATTTCAGAGCCAACTGTCCCCTACAGCAGCAACCATACATCATCCAAGCTCCAGTTGTGTGATGTGAAACTGAGCATTAACTCTGTCCCCTTCATGCCCCTCCAGGCCAGCGTGTTTCCAGCAGCTCTGGTTTATTTCCAGTCTGATGTCAAGGCAGGCTGGTAAATCACCTCTCCCGGTCGCCCACTTTTCATGCCAGAGAAACAAAAAGAGCCTCTTCCATTTCTCTTGCTCACAAAGAGAAAAAGAGACACCTTGCAGAAGAGCACCCTGCTGTGTCTCCTGTTGACCCTGGAGTTTCACCTTCCCTCCAGCACTACAGAACTATGTGCAGAAACAGGTGCACCTTCAAAGTCTGAGGGTGAGCAGGAGCGAATTTTGAAATGAAACATTCATGTTAAAGATCAAATAATTATTAAGGGCAGACCTTGAAGTCTGAAAGATGTGGTTCAAGATTTGTTTAAAGTAAATTGCTGTCAAATAAATTGTGATTGTGAACTTTGCTGCTACAGCTCTTACATATTTCAAGCTGTTTTTTCTAGAGGACAAGAAAGACTATCTGATCTGATCAATCATGTTTACTATCCTCCTGTATTACATTATTAAAGCCACTTGATCAGGTTTGGTGTAATAGCTGACAATAATGCAAGCAAGAGGTTGTACTTGGTGGTGCTTTGAGCTTAATGCTAATGCTAGCATGGCAACATCCATCCATCCATCCATTGTCAACCGCTTATCCTGTGTACAGGGTCGCGGGGGGGCTGGAGCCAATCCCAGCTGACATCGGGCACAAGGCGGGGTACACCCTGGACAGGTCGCCAGTCCATCGCAGACATGGCAACATACTGTACTCAATTTTAACATGTTGACGTTCAGCAAATTTAATGTTCACCATGTTCACCATCTTAGATTAGTGTGTTAGCAAATACTTCTATCTTGGCTAAAAAATAAACGAAAATGCAAAGGATTTGTTTTATTGCTGGTAAGGCCACACAGTGCGTTCATCCAGTGCTCATTTAACTCTGCATTACCTCACTGTTATTGGATCAAGGGTTGCTATGTGACCAAGTACAAGTAGAGCAATGAGTCCCATACCTGTACCAGAGAGTGTGGTAATCGCTTTGCTTTGAACCTGTATCACAAGGGATTACCGTTCAGGTTTGCACAACACAGCAGACAGGAAGCTTTTAAAAACTTGGACCAACACTGCCTCCTGACCTCTGACCCATACATCCTGACCTCTCCTGCAATCTGACATGAGCCCTTGTCTACATGAAAGCTGTCCTGTTGACTCGCCAGGGCTAATTTAGAGTTCCGGTGCCTCCGACTACTGTGAGGACAGACAGTCAACATGCCGGCCTCTGGACTTGTGGAGAGAACTTTAGACAGATGTGTCTGACCCAATCTGAAAAATGGGAAAGTACCCTTAACTCCAATTCACACTGGTTTCCTTCAGGCTTGAGATGTTTTTTTTCTACATACACTGAGAGAGAAAATCTGATTCAAAGCTGTGTTGATGCTAAAATGTCTTAATATCAGCCTGATGGTCTGATCTCCATCGTTGCTTAAATCTGACCTCAAAGTCAGCCAGCAGTTTGCCCCATTCGCCACTTTTGTCCACACAATATGTATGGTGTTATTGCAGTGAATATTAGCCTGTCGCCGAGGGCTTCGCATGTCTGCTGATGAAGTCCTTTAACAAGTCTAACAAAGGCCAACCTCACACTGTGCCACCTGCCAGCCACTAAAGAGATTTCAGTCATTACTTGCTCCCTTTTAAATATCATCAAACATCAGCCCTTTCATCATTCCGAGTGCGTGACCTTCAAGTTCACAGCTTCTCTAAGCGTGACTGACACATCTTGTGAGGGTCAGTGCTGGGGTATTTTTATATCACCGCTTTTGATGGGGCCTAAAAATAGAGTGCTCCGCTGACCTCCAGTCCAGTCTCAGCGGCTCATTTGGGGTCCACTTCCCCCCACACACACCCCTTTTGACGTCACCTCGACCGATCTGCTACTTTATTTTTAGACGCTCCCAAAATTAATTGAATGGTCTTGTTTCGTTGAGTTTGTGCAGGGTTATGTAAGGGGATTACTCTGTTGTTGCCTATGCTCTGACCATGTAGGCCACCACACAGAGGAGGGAGGTGGAGACAGAAAGCAGAGGGGACTTGGGGTGTAAGAGGAGGGTAATGTAGTTAAGGTAGTAGTACAGGGCTCCAGAAATAACCCAGCTGCGGGCCTAATTGTACATCTCTCTCGCTCCCTTTTCCCTCTTCAGCTGCATGCCAAGGTCTTTGACCTTATCATCCACCTCACTGGTTCCGGAAGAATCCTTTCCGCCCCCTGTGGCTACCAAAGCCCCAGCCGATACACAGAGCACAGCAGCAGACCATCTTCAGCCTCAGACTAACAGCCAAGCGCCACAACCAGTTAGGAGTGATCCCAGCAGAGCGCCCAAGTGGCTCAAACTGCCAGGTATGTTCTAATCATCCCCGGCGTGGGCCCCGTGGCTCCTTAACAAAGCTTAGCCTGAGGACCCCAGGCCTCTTCAGAAAGGCCAGGGGCCTCCAGGAAACCCGATTGTCACAGCAGTATATACAGTCAACAGAGATGCTGCCTCGGTGTTTACATTCCCTCCACACACGCAAGCTTTCTGTAAAATGCATGCACACCAAACGGCTGCAACTGGGTCTTTGTTTGTGTTTTTTCTGACAGCGCTGTAAATGCTTGTAACTTTTCGTGTGTGCATGAGATGCGTGTGGAGCATCTAAGAGGAATGCACTCGCTCTGTGTCCCCGGCAGCATTCCTCCATGGTTAGACAGCTCTGTGTCCATGAGGGGGCCACAAGGTCCTCTCGTCTCCTGAGCACTAATGCATCACAGCCCCAGATCAAGCACAACATGCATGCAAGCACATACATGCGCAGAAAGATCCGAGAACAGATGCATGCCGTCACGTATTTATTATAAAAGTACTTACAAACATGTGTAATTGAAATGAAGGTGGTGAAAACGGTATTCATGGTGGCTGACACCTGTAGATTCTTTGTAGATTAATATTTCCTGTCATCTCCTGCAAAAATTATAAAAGTGCTTGCATGACAGTAGATTTATTTCTCTTTCCCAGACTTCATACTATCAACCAAATGTTTTAACCAGGTGAAAAAAAGTCCAAGGTCTGTCCAAGAGCAAAGACTTGCAGCATTACTGACAAAAATTATGCATATGGTACTGTTTTTATGTACACATTCATGGTAAAAGTGAATGTTTTATGTGCCCTCTAGGGCTATAAACTTTCATGTAGCTCATACACTTTCGATTTTCCCTGCTTGGATGTTGTTACAGCCATCTCGGAAAGGCCAGCAGTCAGGGAAATGGGTGTATTATGATCACTTGTCCTGGACGGGACCCTAGTTTGGGCCTGAGAAGAAAGGAACTTTGAGATGACAGAAAGTTGGAGAGATGGGAGAGTCTGTCATTCTAACAAAACAACCACCAGTGAGTGGGGAATTAAGGAGTGAAATCTGACATAATCCTAACATACCCTCACAGGGACTCTCAAGACTGATGCAGATGACGCCACCCCAGGCAAACATCACCCTAAACCACAATTACTGTTACCACACGGCCTTATCAGACTCGTGCAGACTTACAGCCCTGTTTGTGTTAGTATAAAAAATGTATGGTAAGCCTGCAGAGGGCAGGTAAAGTAGGCTTTTTTACCATGATGGTGTTAAAAAAACTACTGATTCAAACTATCCAAAGAAGGTAAAACTTTGTCCTTACACAACCCCCTTTAAAAAAAGGGCTATTAGCCAATTTTAACTCGATGTACAAATCAAAGCAACACAATTGTCCTGGCGGTCACAGGTGCTTTGATTAAATCAGTGTTTAAATCGATGGCATACAGATATGTTCAAGCAGTGATGAGGGTCTCATCCCATGTGCAGCCCTGACCAAAGACCAGCCAGAAGGCTGGAGACAGATCAGTCTCCGTCTCCCGAGAAAAGCTTCTCACTCCGGAGCTTCTCCAAAGCGTCTGGACTGGCTGTCGACACTCCCTGCCTTTAATGTATGATCTAGAAAAGCTTTAACTCATTACTCTCTTCAACGTCCCTCCCCATTCTTGTCCTAACTGCTTTCGTATGTTTAATAATACTGCCTTCAGATGTAATTTGTTCCACTAAGATGCATAAGCAGAAAAGTTTGTACAGTAGTGCACTACTTCGCCAGCACAGAGACTATCCCAACAGCTCATGTTGTGGAAAAGAAAAAAAAAAACAGAGATCCAAAAGAATTGTTTTTATTTCATCTGCAAGGACTGACGGTGAAGTCATACTACTACAATATACAGTACTACACCTTACACAGTTGTTTCTTACCATGGTATTCATGTTGTACTTTTTAGCAAGATCATTTGGCTTCATATCTTGTAATAAAAATTTGCTTGCAACATTTCATCTGAATGAGTAGGTTGTCAAAGCGTTGGCACGTAAGGGTATTGTACTACTCAGAACTAGAGGGCAGGACTTGCTGCTATGAATGACAGTGATTACTAACCCAACAAATTATTTACTTCAAGTAAATGCGCCCTAATGGTCCTCAGAGCATCATTAAACTAAACATCACTCAACCAGACACACCTTCTCCTGAAGCCCTGCTGTGGAAGTTACTCCTGGGAAACACAAATCCAGTCTGGGCCCTACTAAAAAGGTGCCGGGTCAAATTCCAGGTGCCGCGTCCTTGAGCACCTATCCAAGCCTGGACTCTTGACTTTAGCCCAAGTTGCTTCCAGCTGTATGTGAGCAGCATTTGTCAGTGTAATGAGTCACCCAAGAGCCACACAAATAAATAGTGTGAGGTGTTGTGCAGCTATGCTGACTCATAGTGAAGACACGCTGGTCAAATACACCACTGGTGGAAAACCATCAGAGGCACTTGGGTTAGAAAACCCCACATTAACATCGCCCTTACAGCCCCAACCTCCCCCTCTGCTGTGATGAAAGGAGAGAAAGCACCTCTACTACTCACCTCTTTTGTTTATTTACCTTCAGAATTACACCCTGCTCTTCTTGGACCATGTTCCAATGTGTTTTGTTATGTTTCCTTTCAAACAGAATATCTATGCGTGTGGTCTCTGGCCATGTTTGGCTAAGACATGCACACATTCGTGCACGCACACTACCATTCAACTTTCCCCCCCCTGTGCCAGAGGTCCCCTTTGCCCTTCCCCCCACCTCTAACTAAACATCGCAGGACAGCAAAAGGGAACTTCAAAGTGGCCGAAGGGGGTACTCCTTTTTTCCTGGCACTTGTCATCATCTAAGGGACTGGCTGCTCCCCTTATTACTCTAATTGCTTCCAACTGCTCCAGGAGGCTTTGATGAAGGGCGCCATGGAGCATGTTGGAAGCACCTGTTGTTGCACGGAGGAGCACAGGTGGGCCTTATTGGGGGTGGCAGGGAGGCGTGTGGCTGCTTTCCACTTAAAAATCAAACAACTCCAATACAGACAGAATGAGAATCTTAATGTAATGTATCTCAGATTTAAGTGATTATTTAATTGCAGTTATACAGAAACTCTAAACATCAGTTAAACTAAACTTGTGGGTGTAAGAACTGAAGTTAAACTATTTCAGAAGGAACACGCAGGCGATACTCTGGCTCCATCTTGTGGCATCACTGTGCTAGAAGTCCAGCAGCTGCATTGGAAAACAGATGAAAGACGAGATGAAACTTTTTAGGCATTAATGATGCACAGGTGAGACTTTTTTTTTTTTATGTCCAATTTGCTTTTAATGGCCAGCCAGCATTTTGTATCACAAATACTATCCGTTTGAGCTGGTCCGGCATGGGATTTCAGGAAGACAGATTTAACTTAACCTAGTTGTTTTAAACTACCTGCCTGTAGGCACTGAATCTCACAGTGACTGGTTGGAGTGAGGCCTGAGCCACACTCGCCAAGGACAAGAATTATGGCTTACATTGTACAATTTGTACAGTGACTAAAACACTGAATTATCAGAACTTTTTTTATCAACAATATAAAGAATTCTGACTCAAATATAAGAAGAAGTTTGGCATACTGGATCTGTGATCACACGGAAGGCTACATTCTTATGATTGGCAGTAATACAGGCAGCAATGTTTAAAAGTGCATATTAGCTGCACAGACAATCATTCAGTATAATCTGAAGCATCGAGATGTGTACCTTAAACTATTTGGAATTCTAATTCTTCATTATTTATTAACTATTTCTGGAAGTGCTCTGCTGCTTTAAGAAAAGAATATATAAATTAAACATGACACTGAAGCAACCTTTGTATTGCATATTTATATGGGAAAATTCTATGGCTCTTGAACAACACATTAAATCCCACAAATTTTGTTGTGCTACACACCAGCTGGGGTAGGATCTTTTCAAAGTGCTCAATGTCCACTTGTTCACAGTCTTCAGATTCAGCTTGTTTCTGTGATCTCACAGCAGCCTCTGGAAATGAGACAACAGATTAAGAGTTTCATCATCAAGCAATCTGTACAAAACTGTACCCAACAGAACTCCTTACCTTGGACAAACACTTTGAGCATCTCTGCCATGAGCAGCGTAGCGTCACCGCTTACTGGAACAGAGTGAGATTTGTTGAGACATAATCACAACTCAAACACACGTTTTGGTGAAGTCACTTCTATCAAGACGATATTTATCCAACTCACGTCTGGTTTTGTCCTCTGTGAAGAAACCTGACAAAAGTTTGCTTACTGTGTCCTGTAAGTGCGGAGAATTGAGAACCTTGAAATGTGCAGAGTATGAACATGAACACAGAGCAGGTCTAAAAATATGCACATCTCTACATAGGGGAAAACCCCTCACTTGGATTTCCAGATAACATCCCGCTGCTTTTATCTGGCAACCTGCTGATGCGTTTTCATACGGGGCTTCCGCATACCAGGCTGCCTTTGAAAAAATGCCAATTTCATGGGCTTTAGTGTACTGGCAAAAGTACCACATGTTAAACCCAGAATAGTGACTACAGGGCACCTTTTTTGAATTATTATGAAGCGCTCTTACATTCGGCGTATATATTTTGTTAAACCACCAAATAATATCTTTGCGAGGTGCAACGTTAAAGTTATATCGTGTGACAGGCTAAATCAGGAACAGTGTAGGCTATACGCTCTGTTAACAGGGTCTGCGTGAATGCCTAATAGAAGTAAATAATACAATTAAGCAAAAGAATAGAAGCAGTATTCGTTTTATTTAACCACGGGGGGAAAAAAACAAGTATAAACAACCTTCTACCTTTTTGAATGCAATTTCTGCGTCGTTCTCCGCCATGTTTTTGACGCTGTGAGAGGAACTTGGCGCTATGCGTAGGGATTGGCCATTGATCTCTGACGTCGTTCTGACGCTCACCGTAGACACTAATCAAAAAATATTTATTTTGATTTGAAGATTATAGTACTTTAGATTTTGTGAGTTACATCACTTCAGACATGTATAAATGTTTTCCTATACATATGTGTGTGTGTGTGTGTGTGTGTGTATGTATGTGTATATATATAAAGTAGATCATTACCATTACATGTACTTTTTTTTACTTTTTTTGTGAATAGGCTACCTAATTTGGTAGTTTACATACACACTGTAAGGCCTATAAAAATGTTATAACTTATTTTAAATGCTAACTAATGTGAGGCAAGCATTTAGATTTTCACAGTGTTTTGCTGAGCATCATGTAATTTATTAACTACAAATCATGTTGCATTCACTAAAAGGGGTTGCACAAAGGGAGTGAACATTTAATCTATATTTTAACACAAAAGTACTTGACAAACATGAAAATATTTACAATCAGCTTTATTAGCCATACAAGGGATTTTACTCCAGTTTTAAGTTGCTCTTAATGTACTCACACAGCTCCAAGAACATTTTACAGGAAGATAAATAGAAATAGACATACAACTACAAACAAAAAGACAACAACGCTGAACATAGCTGCATGTACATACAACAAGTTGCTGAACAAATAGACATGTACATAAATTGGCAACATTTGAAAAGCAACAAAGGACAGCATACATACTATATACAAGTCAAACTGTTCCTGTAAATAAACCATACATAAGTCTATATAAACAGATAAAGAAATAGGTGTAGAGTTTTGCAGAGAGGGGAAAATAAGACACTTGAGTTGGAGAATATCTATTATATCCTTGTGTCTTCCTTCCTTCCTTTGAGGTAACAGAATATTTTTATCCATGCTTTATCCTCACAGCATGGTGGCCCAGCTTCATCAGTTTTTATTAGCATTGGTTTAAGCATCTCTAAATGAATGTGCAGAAAATGTACAATTTTAAACTTTAAATTTTAAAGTTCACAGTATTTGTTTATTCAACCATCTAATCACTGATCATCTTCCAGTTTGTAGCCCAAACTTATTTAACTCCACAATCACGGTTTACCCACGACTGTGGCGATCTCCTCCTCTGAAGCCTCCATCTGAAAGACAGATTTTTACAGTCAGCTGATGAAGACACAGGCCGATACCTGCACTCATATATGATCCTAAATGACAGCAGGTCTAACCTAAAACCATCACTGGCTAGCGTCAAATATATATTGTTGTACTGTAGAGAAAAATGCAGTTGAATGACGTAACTTGTGTTAAACTGTACCCCACTCTCCCTTAAACACCAGTTCTGTAATCTAAAGCCAATAACCCAATGTATTTTTCTATTTCATTAATTAACATAACATTCCATCTAAAACAACATGTTACTAGATTGTACTCTGCATAGAATAGAATCATGTAGAATTATACATGACTTTCTTTGTTTTGTTATCAGCTTTATATATCGACTATCAGCCACCATGTTCTCTCACTATTGACACAATGACATAGACCGTGCAAGATGGCGCCAGTGTCTTCGGCTTGCCATCGGTCATCGTTATGTGTGTGTATACTCGTGCTGTTCCTAACCTTGATTACTCCAAGTGCCAACACCCTGCTTGTATACGATCGTCTAACTTTACTGGATCTTCAACTTTCAGCCAAGGACTTCATAAAGTTTGACCACGATGGCCACAAAACTTTACTGCCACTTCTATCGGGGATCCCAACATAGTTAAAAGTTTTTAACGTCACGCTGGTGACTGTGTGGTCCTTGTGCTTCTGGATTTAATAGCTGCCTTTGACACTGTGGACCATGAAATTCTGGTCTCTCGTTTAGAGCGATGTGTGGGCATTACAGGCATAGCCCTAAAATGGTTTCACTCCTACTTGAAAGATAGGACATTCAGTGTCAACTGTGTTGGCTCTGTGTCTACCACGGCGCACCTCTCCTGTGGCATCCCGCAAGGCTCAATTCTAGGCCCGCTTCTCTTTCCCTTTATCTCCTCCCACTTGGCTCAATACTTAGGAAACATGACATCTCTTTCCATTGTTATGCAGATGACAGCCAGATCTATGTACCTTTTTTGAGTAAGGATGGCACTCTGACCATTGTTTGCATGTCTAGAGGACATAAAGGCTTGGATGGCTCTCAACTTAAGTTTTAAGGAAAACAAAACAGAGGTAATGGTTTTTAACGGCACCCCTTGGACTTGCTCCCCTCCTCACCTCGATCTAGGCCCCCTAGCTCAGTATGTCACGCCAACCGTCACTGACCTAGGAGTCAAAATTGATGCCGATATGAAACTGGATAAACATGTTGGGTTAGTGGTTAAATCTAGTTTCTTTCAATTAAGACAGCTGGCGAAGCTGAAACCGATCCTTTCTAATCATAATTTTGAGACCGTTATACAAGCCTACTAGACTAAATTACTGCAATGCACTTTTCGTTGGGATGAATGGATCGTCTCTCGGCCATCTCCAGATGGTGCAAAACACTGCAGCACATCTTCTAACGGGAACATGTAAATATGAACACATCTTCCCAGTTCTACGCTCACTCCATTGGCTACCCATTCAATTTAGGATCGATTTTAAACTACTTTTACTGACTTTTAAATCCTTGAATGGCCTTGCCCCCCCTTATTTATCTGAGCTGCTTCATCCTTATACACCCACCCATTCGCTCAGGTCAGCTGACAAACTTCTCCTGAGAGTGCCTAAAACGCAAACTTAAAGGCGACTGTGCTTTTGCGGTGGCAGCTCCGAAATTGTGGAATGCCCTTCCTCTTACCATTAGACAGGCTTTCTCACTGTCTGATTTTAAAACTTGTCTTAAAACCCATCTCTTCCATCTGGCTTTTGACCTTTGAGAATGACACTTGGAGGAACTCATTTGTTAGTGTTTTAATGGTATACATTATATGTATGTGATAACCTGTAAATTGATGTTTGCTTTTTTTTAAAAAATCTCTGTACAGCACTTTGTGCAACTTCGTGATTGCTGTTAAAGTGCTCTATAAATAAATTTTGATTGAATATTGATATTGGCATCAGCCACTGAGAGACCAATATCGGTCAACCACTAGTTTTTATGTCCGTAAGGAGAGCAGGCATAAAAGCAGAAGAAGAGAACTACTGTTGCAGACCCACCTTTGGACTTACAACTCGTTTCACTTCCACATCGCCTCCAATGAAGTGAGGACCAGCCCATTCTGCTCTGTCTGCTTCATCTTCTGTAGAAAACCTCACGTAGGCGACTGCTTTATCTTCCTCCGAGTTGAGGCCCTTCTGAATCTGGGATCCGATTCAACAGATAAAGGGTATTTGTTTAGTTGAGTGACAGTATCTCCTAGCTCTTCATCATTTATATAATATTATTTTAACAAAGGCACTAAGAAAACTGCATTTTTTCAGTCTTTACCTTACATGCGGTGACTTTGCCCCATGCGCTAAAATAAGATTGTACATATCCTTCATTTACACAGGGATTCAGCTCTTTTATAAACAATCCATGGTCCTGTTAAATAATAGAAAATCATGAGCTTCAAGGCATATTGTAGCTTACACTCTAAAAACTAATTCAGGGGACCTTTAGTCATTACTTAAAAAAAAATATATATATATATATATATATTAGTTGTGAAATAAAAAATCAAGTTTTGAGATACGGTTAGACTTTTTACTTGTAATTGTTATTTTATTGAGCTTGGATGACACACAAATTATGCCTATTGATTCAATATACTATCATGACTTGTCAGAGTATAACATTTTCAGTTAATCATAAATAATTGAATTTTAAGATCTGTTAATGTAAAATACAATTTGTTTGACGTTTAAACGGCCCACAGTTTCCCCCTCTTGCATGTGCGGGCATGTTCAAGGCAGACAAGTGACCACAGGGCCACAGCTGAAACTCATTTGAAGTGTAATGTGTTGAATGGTAAGTAATTTTATGCTTAATTACACTTTTGCATTCGCTCAGGATTCTGTTGGTGATAGCCTACTGAAACCGAATATCGAAATCTGGAAGTCCTTACTCTGAAATTTGAGCAGTGTTGATAGTACAGTCTGTGTGCCAAGGTAAAGTTAGCTAGTAGCTGTAGCCTGTCACTGATTGAATAGGCTTAAAAGCGGGAGTAATAGGTGGCCAGGCAGCCAGGGAAAACGTCTTGGCAAGCTAACTTAATATGGGATTACCCATTAGCCACTGCTCCGGTTAGCATGTAGGATAGCTATGTTTATAAACTACAGCTAGACATAATTAGACTATAATTCAGATGAGAAGAAATACAAAAGATTACTCGCTAACACACAACTTAACTCTTGCAGAGATCAACTTAATTATTAAGTTCATGTTACTTAGAAATGTGTTTTATTGTGGCCTAAAAGGTAATTAACCATACTAAACTACACTATTTTTTTTTTTTTGTTGACCCAATGTTTTATTTTTTTAAGAGTGTAGGTTCAAAAAGATCCAATTAACTGATGCACCCTGTAAATAGGAATGACGTTTCATTTACATTTATGTAAAATTATGAATATGATCATAAACAATCAGGTTTTCTTAGCAGATGAGGCATGAAATCAAGAAAACTGTTACTTACCAGAGGTCCTTACGGAAGCGTTTGTCAACCCGCTTGTCTAAGTAGATCAACTCAAAGTATAGGGAAACCGGCAGTGAGTGGGTTCATATATCCTGTTATGTCACATGTTAACAAGGAAATCTCCACCTACTTTTATTTTCTTGTGAATTTTACAGGTACAAGTTTGAGTGACTGGTCACAACAAAATATTAGGTAAGGCAATGCAAGGTTTATTTGTATAGTACATTTCAACAACATCGCAATTCAAAGTGCTTTACATAAAACATAAAAGCAAGATGTAGGGCAATATAAAAAACATGTAAATACAATTGAAAAATAGAAAATAAAAACAATATAAAACAGGAGAGTAAAACAGTGTAAGGTGCAGTGCAGTGTAAGGTATAAATCTAAAATATTACAATAATTTAATAAAAGGCAGAGGCAAAAAGACAAGAGTGTTTCAGGAGATCTGCAGTTTTGTGGGAGTTTTTTCCAGATATATGGTGCATAAAAACTGAACGCTGCCTCTCCGTGTGTAGTTTTGACTCTGGGGACAGAAAGCAGACCTGTCCTAGATGACCTGAGAGGTCTGGATGGTTCATAACGTAGTAGAAGATCAGAATTTTGATCAGTATTTTGGCCCTAAACCAGTCAGTGCTTTATAAACCAACAGCAGTATTTTAAAAAATTAAGTCTTTGCAAGGCATGAATCCAGTATAAAGACTTCAGAACCGGAGTGATGTGATCCACATTTGTGGTCTTCGTGAGGTCTTAATCAGCTGCAGCTGTCTTTTTTTGGGAGACCTGTAAAAGACACCCTTACAGTATTCAAGTCGACCGAAGATAAATGTATGGAGTACTTCTGATGTTGGGATATTTAAATAAAATTGACTTGACTTGACATTTTAGTTAGTCATATGAGTAAACAGTTGTAGTTACAAGCCATGTTTAAAGTTTTTCTTTTAGCCAGTGATAACCGCAAACCATCTTTATTTTGTCTTATATGGACTGCATGTCTGAAATAAAGTGACTTGAATATTTTGCACTTGTTTATGATTTTGATAAAACATACTGTACAAAAGCAATTCACTAGAGGTCAACATAATATGCAGTAGGACCCTACTGCCCTCTCCATTTTGACTTCTACATATAATTTTAAGGTAACATCAGCTAAATAGTTATTTGCCACTACCCAACAGTATGTTGATGTATCACTACATAGATTTTTTTTTTTATTGTTACATATCCATTCATTACATAACATGTTGGACATTTTCTTAGGAAATCTGATGTGTTTTGATACTGTTTAGAGTAAGGCATTTTAGGCAGCCTATCAAGTGTAAAATCTGTATGACATACTGGAACAATAATGGTGATCATTAATTGTGTGTGTTCAGATGAATGACATGGATTCTTGCAGTGTTTGGATAAATCAGATTCTGTTCCAGATAATCCAGTCTTTCCAGATAAGGCGACAAAAGGGTTCCTGATTCCAATAACACAGTAGAAGTGTTCAAACAAATTTATTTTGTCTTTTGATAAAACACCTTCAAAATAAATTTTCATAAACATTTACACAAATAAAAATATACATCCTGACATACAATTAGAGTGCCATGTATAATTAAATATTGACAGCTCATAGATATGATATCAACCAGATTTTGTTACTGGTTTTGCTTTTCTTTTCATTGTAGCTTGTAGGTGACCTCCATGATGTTGGCAAACATGTTGACATAGATGAGATAATATTCAAGCGATGATGTTTGTCACTTATGAGATAATTACTTGTCATTTCTACAGTATGGTGTGAATGTTGTTCAGCCACGGGCTGGAGAGGGGAAGAAAAAGCGGGGGGGGGGACTTTTTATAAGGAAGTCTGTTAACACAAATGTCCTTTTTAGATTACCAGCGAGGTAATTAAAACAGGGAGCAAACAAATAAGATATGCTACAACCACAAACAGGATATGCGGTACTGAGAATATCCACCTTATCAATGAGGGGAAACCAGTCTACTCTGTTCATAAATATCTTGCAATTTGGTGATGAGGAACGTTTTGTCTTTACCCTCCTGTATGAGAGAAAAACAGATAGTTAGATCAATGAACATAATCCAGAGGCTATATGGATGGCAAAGACTGTATTTCAGCAACTATTTGATGGATTGCATTGAAATTTGGTACCATTATATCCATAATGCCCACCAAGAATGACTCATACTGACTTTGGTCAGTATTTGCTTTAATGAGCCCCTGATATTTCCTCTAGCGCCACCAAAAGGTCCAAGTTTTCACTTAACTGTTGAACTGTCTGAATCTACAGTATATGGATTACCCATGCACTGTAAGGATTACCACTGAATTAGATTCATCACTTTGGTAATCCCTTGGTTTGTTTTCCTCTAGCTTCATCAGAATTTTAAATTTGTCCAGTGGGGTTTATGACCAAATACTTGACCAAAACTCACGATACTCCAAATCAGACTCAGCTGTAAAATAACTTTAGTGCTATGAGCAATTGTTAGCATGCTAAACTAAAATGAACACCTGCTAAACGTAGCATATTAGCACGCTGAATTTATCATTTAGTTAGCTGTGCCTCACTGAGCCGCTAGCATGGCTTAGAGACTCTTAGTCCGTTTAAAAAAAATGCTTGATCATGCGTACATTTTCAATTTGATTTTCTAACCGACTGATGATTTTCCTTTGGCCATCAACAACATGAGTATGAAAATATATCACCATTCTGAAAAAATAGAAAGCATAAGGGATCGATTAATATTCAAAGAGGATAAACTGTATTCAGGTACAGTAATCAAGAACTTAGGCATTTTGTTAGAAAAAGCCTTACAACCACAAAAGCAAAAAATGCACTACATACCAAATATGAAATCACATTTGTGGAAACTGGACAGTTCCTGAAAACATTGTGTGTCATCATGTCACCACTCACAAAAGGACTCCACTGACAAGGAATAAGAACAATGGGTTCTCCACCAGAGAGTTGTAGGCCCAGCTGAGCCAAAACAGGATTGGGTGGTGGTTCCCCAGCTCCTTGGCCCACAGCTTCCCTGACTGGAACATTGTGGTGAGATTCCTGAAAGGGCCGCACCCTGACGAAGGCTTAATCCTGCAGAGGTCAGACAGATGGATTTGGATGGAACATACAGTGCAGTTTGTAAGTATTTCTAACACATTTTCAGCATTTGGGCTCCAAGCTCAAGCACATTGGATTTAAAGATGAAAAAATGACAAGAGTTTAGCTTATCCTACATTTTTCATGGTGTCAACAAACCTCATAAAAGAGAACTAACCATGTCTGTGTCCCTCTGCCCCAAACCCATTCATTTCAACTGAAGACAAAAATCTTTAAAAAAGGAACAGTTGGGGAAATATCTAAATTTGTTTAATCCATACAACAACAACAACAAAAAAAAAAGAGACTGCTGGAGTGCCAGACTATTTCTTGGCAAGGACCAGTAACTTCCTTATTTCTGCTCTTGTTGCCTATTAACTGGCCAAGAAACAGTCTGGTGCATAACCCCTTGTAAAATTGTGAGGTTTTTTTTTAATCTCTTCAGTTTTTGTAAGAAGTAAACAAACAAGACTGAATGTGTTAATTAATGAGCTTTAGGCCTGTACTACTTTCAGCTATACAGGCCTGGGCTACACAGACACTAGGTGGCCTCAGTCCTTTAGTTTCCTAGTTAACAGTGCAGGACGGCTATAACAGGGCTACTACCCCTACACCCTTCAACCTATATGCATATCTACACCCTCAAATTAAAACTAAACTGTGACTCTTTATCCTCATAGTCACCGTTTTATTTCAAATATAACATGCTAGAGTATATAGTATGGTAAATATGCTCTGAACAAAACATGTTTTTAGAAAGCTATGTGTGTCTGAGAGGGGCACATTTTTTGTTGCACTCACGTCCACATTGTGTATGACACAGACACTGCAGCACCAAGAAATGAGGGGAAACACAAAAGAGAGATGAATAGCGTTGTCATCTGACTGGCCCTCCAGGGCTTTTTGGAGGCCTGACAGTTGAGTAGCACACTGCTCTGAGGAAGAAACAAGAAGGAGGAAGAATGTTACGTTTGACATGTGCATCAGAGTTGACGTGCTGTCTGACATTTAAACAGCAGTAGCTGTACCAACCTTCTTCATGTAAAACAGCACAAACAGTTTAATGATCTGGACTGCAGGAAGCAGTGGAGCAAACAGCACCCCAAGCCTGGGAAGAACCGAAGGCCGTTAATGTTTAATACACTTTTTTTTGCAAAATATGTGATGCGTTTCAAGGATGTTGTGTAATGGTGCATACCAGGTAAGCGTTTGTCCATATATGAGCTCCAGGACATTACGAGCAATGTCAAACACTGGCTTCCTGTTCCTTTTCATCACTTGCTTGGAAAAGAGCCTGGGGGGATGATGCTCAACAGTCAGTGAATGAATGCCTTTTTAAAACCGTAAACAACAGAATCAAATTACATGATTCGTGGGTAAAGCACCAACTTGCCTCCATAGGAATTCTCCCAAAAAAGTGTAAAGCACTGTGAAGACAAAGTCCATCAGGAGCAAGCAGTACAGTTCTTGCCCGACGAAGCTCTCCCAACACTGTGGACAACAGAAACAAAATGTAAAGAATCTACTAAAAGTGGATTTATGGTAGTTTTATATCCCCAATAGGGTTGGATCGCGTCATTAGGGCTAATAAGGTCACAACCAAACATGTGAACACTTACTGTGTCCAAAGGGCAATCTTTTAGGAATGAATGACATTGCACAGTTCAGTACCAAGTAACTATACATACATACATACAGCTTATAATATGATTATAAGAAGTAAGTAAGGATTCTTGTAACCTGTAAACGACGACTTTCTGGTTCCGCAGCAATTTTCCCCAACCAGCGGTGTAACAGCACTCCAACAATACTGACCTTCAACAACAGGTTCCTGAGAAAACAATGATGTTTCCTATTTATTGACAGCCGTCAGAGTGTGTGTGTGTGTGTGTGTCTCTAGAATTGCCACAAGAATGTCACACAGCTTTACCAAGTTAAAGCGTCCCTCCACTCAAGAATTTATTAGATGATGAATCACTTGGATATTTGACCTTCAGTGTGCAGATAGATAGATGCAAACAGAAAGGGAGAATACAATAAGCTACTGCATTAGTGTTCTCACAATGTAGCACTTTACAGCTCGGTAATAACATGGTAATAGTGAGGTAATTGATAATGAAGTAGTAATTAATTCCATGTAACTCCCAAAGTAATAACCTGGTAATAGCTTGGTACTAACAATAGGTATGTTGGGTAATATTAGACTGAAATGTACAGTAGGGTAATGAGGCCAAAAACAAAAAGTAAAAATGGGGAAACACATTTAAAGATAGCAATGAGAGAAAAATATTTGGTAATAATATAGAAATTTCTCTAACAACATGGTAACCTAAAAATAAAATGATTATATCAGAGCAATATTTGGACAAAAAAAAAGTAATATAGTGAAATTAATGGACTATTAACCAGATAATGGGGTAGTATAGGTTGGTTTCCACAATATTATAGGCTACTGTCAGGGCAATACCTTCAAAATCACATGAAAATTCTTGTTTGTCAAAATTGTCAATTAGTATATCATAATGCTTAAATTCATCCTCATGTTCCAAACATCTTTTTTTCTTTAAAGGTAATTATATACAAGTGATGTTTGATGCTGTGACTTAATACCTGGAAACAGTTTCTGTAATAACCATGAATCAGAATCAAAATGCTAATTTCATTTCGTGGTATTGTTCTCTACTTCTGTGACAGCCCCAGGGCCTCTGCCAGGTTGTTTGTGTGTGTGTGTGTGTGTCTCGGTCTGTGTTTTGTTGCAGGGTGAACTTCCTGGTGGAGTGGAACTGAGGCCATCAGGCAAATCAGAGGCAGCTGGCCACTGTCTCCAGATTGTATAAAGCCTGCCCCTTCCTGATTGTTGCAGGCCTTGACTGCTTGTTTTTTTCCTGGTCCCCAGTACCAAGGCGTGTTGCTTTGTTGTGCTTTTGTTTATTTTGTTAATCTGGCACTATATTTTGCCAGCCACATTTGTTAAGCTTTAAAATGATTTGTTATGTTTAATAACTTTTATTAATAAACATCCTTTTCTGGTAATCCCTTAAGTATGGTTTCCTCTATTTGTTGTGGCCTCTGAGCCGGGCCATAACATTTCAAAATTAGTGTGACGTATATCCATCTGTTTACTTCCTGTCAACTCTACAGTAACATAAGAGTTCACTTTTCACATTTAGCTTTGTGCATATTGTTAACACTATTATTGTTCATTTTTGTATTGTTTCTTTAGTCATTCTGATAATAACCTCAGTGTCTCAGATAAGCGTAGTCACTTTCAAATAGAAATATTTAATTTAATGAATGTTCAGTGTGATGTGGTTTTAGTTCTTCTCCTCACCTGAAGATGGAGACATAGACTTCAACACTGGGTGAGTCATGATTCTCTACCCAAGCACACACGTTGAAGACGCCGGGGAGCAACAGGTTAATGCCGGACACAACAGCAGACAAGCGCAGCAGCTGAGTTTCTCTTTCAGAACTCTCTTTAGTGGCATCCTGTGAAGGAATGAATTAATTTTTTGTTAGACCTTTTTCACAGCAGTTTGACTTTATTGATCGCTACATTGCAATAATGGTTGAAATGCAATTACTACCACCTTTGCTCTTCCTGCTATAAGGACTCAAAATCTAATCTAATCTAAATATAGCAGAAGACTTTCACTTATGTGTTTCGGGTCTCTGGCACAAGGCTAACTTGCATCGCTCATTTGCACAACAGGAAATCATGAGGAAAATGCATGTAAAGAAAACCGCTCTTGTTTTTGATAATGTTAAATCAGGGGGTCATGCCAGAAATAGTTTGGGAACCACTGTGTAAAACATAGCCTATTCTTCCTTCAATATCTCAATTAGGATCAGGTTTTGGTTATAGTAGTTTTGTGTGAGAACAGAAGACTTTATGTAAAGAGTGTAAAACATCTAACAGGAAAGAAAAAGGAGAAGTAAATAACTGCGGTAGGAAGGTGCTTATTTGTCAGTGAGTTATTTTTGTTGCAGTGTTGAGAAAATGCTAATTGCATCCTACAGCTGCTCAAATGTGCATGAAATTTGTCATGTCTGGCTGCACAGCAGTTGCTGCTTCCTCGAACCTCTGACAGGAAGTGGACTGCCATGGTGCCTAGGGAGATGCTGGTCAGACATGTTGCCCACGTTATCAGATGCACTGTGAGGAGGCAGAGTCGCTGCATGCAGCTCTTTACACCATCTCCACCGATCATATCAGACAGCAGCTCCTGTTGGAAAAGCAGCGTTTGTCAGGTCGAGCCAGCTACATTTAAATCATCCTCACAATGTGTTGAAACTGTGATCAGCACTAATGTCCCAGACATGTCTCAGCTCTGTGTAAGTGTGAAAGCTGCCATTGATTATATTCAGAATCACAGAATCGTCTTAGTCTCATGTGTAACATACACATGAGACTGCTTTAAACAGTTGCATGGGGTGTGAAAAGGAACTATTAAAAGCTTCCTTTGTTTAAACCAGCCATGCAAAAACTCAGTGTGACAAAAGGACATACACTCAGCAGCCACTTTATTGGTCTGAGTATTTCAGAAACTGCTGATCTACTGGGATTCTCACACACACACACACACACACACACACACACACACACCCCCATCTCTAGGGTTTACAGAGAATGGTCCGAATAAGAGGAAATATCCAGTGAGCGGCAGTTGTGTGGATGGAAAATATCTTGTTGGTGTTGGAGGTCAGAGGAGAATGGGCGAACTGGTTTGAGACAGAAAGGCAACTTGTTACAACCAAGGTATGCAGGATACCATCTCTGAACACACAACACGTCGAACCTTGAAGCAGATGGGCTACAGCAGCAGAAGACCACACAACGGGTGCCACTCCTGTCAACTAAGAACAGGAAACTGAGGCTACCATTCATGTTTCACCAAAAAATGGACAACAGATGATCTAATGAGTCTCGATTTCAGCTGCGACATTCAGATGGTCAGAATTTGGCATAAAACAATGTGAAGGTATGGATCCATCCTGCCTTGTATCAGCGGTTCAGGCTGGTGGTGGTGTGTAATGGTGTGGGGGATATTTTCATGGCACACTTTGGGCCCCTTAGCACCAACTGAGCATTGTTTAAACGCCACAGCCTAACCGAGTATTATTGCTGACCATGTCCATCCCTTTATGACCACAGTGTACCCATCTTCTGATGGCTACTTCCAGAAGGATAATATGCACCATGTCACAAAGCTCAAATCTTCTCAAACTGGTTTCTTGAATATGACTGAGTTCACTGTACTCCAGTGGCCTCCACAGTCACCAGATCTCAATCCAATAGAGCACCTTTGGGATGTGGTGGAACGGGAGATTCGCATCATGGATGCGTAGCCCACAAATCTGCAGCAAATGTATGATACTGTCTTGTCAATATGGACCAAAGTCTTTGAGGAATGTTTCCAACACCTTGTTCACCTTGAAGAATTAAGGCAGTTCTGAAGGCAAGTACTAGCAAGGTATACCTAATGAAGTGGCCAGTGAGTGTATATCTTTTACTGAGGATCAAAGTTTAAAATGTGTTTAAAGGGAGAACGTGTAGCCAGTTTATTCATGTTTTAAATGCTTCACACGGATGCTTCCATTTGAAAAGGAAATCATCCTCTTGGCTTCTGAAATCGGTTTGTAGTAATGCACATTTAAAAAAATAAAAATAAAAAAAGATTTACACACTTCAGTGAGTCTAATTGAATATTAGAACGATTGCGTTACTTTGAGCTGAGTGCTGATTTTCTCAGACTGAAGTATGACAGACGTCTTCTTGCTGACTTTAAAGTCCCAGGAGCAGAAAACTTTCACCGCCAGATTCCCATTGGATTTGAGGACACGAAAACTTTTCCCCAGGGACCTGGACATGCTGCAGGACAACAATAGAGCCGTTAAATACACACCGCAGATGGACTAAAATGCAAGTAACGCACAAGTAATTGTTATTGTCCAACCGGTACACCAGGATGATGCAGATAATGAAGAAGGCGATGACAATGGTAAAGAAATAGGCTGCAGGTATGCTGTAGGTGTGAGTTTTGATGACGTTGTTGGTGTAGTAGCCGTAAAACATCACACTCTTAGAGAGGGGACCCTGCAAGAGATGACAGATGAAGCAGAGATCTGGTCATGCCACAGAGATAGTCACATATATACTGCTCTGATGGTAATGAAGGGCCATCTTACCATTCCTGTGAGAAGCTCAAGCCCAGTGAAAGTGTCGAAGTGAGAGTCGGAAGGAAGAGGAGGAGGGTGGACAGCTTGAGGGAAGACAAGGAATAGGCCATTGATGACGAAGAGGAGAAGGTTGAAGAGCAGGAGGGTCCGGAGAAACAGGAAGTAGGAGAGCACTCCGGTTCCGAAACGCCCGCTCAGTCTCTTCATGGGTGAATGCCACAGCTTGAGGGTACTGATGATGGGGAGGCAGCTGAACAGGCAGTGACGCCAAGTCTGAGGGGAGAGAAAGAGGTAAAGTGTATGACCGATACACACAGGCAAAAATGTTTTGTTACCTTACAGTTTGTACTCACCCTTGAAATGTACACGTGTAGATGACTGTAGCACGGAATATTTCTGCTGATGAGTGATCTCTCAGCTGCGTCACTGAAAGCGAGTCGTCTAAATAAAAGACGAGTGAAGGAGCCGTTAAAAACGTGTCACCACAGTGCTGATGGCTTTATTTTGCAGGCCACTCAACATTTACAGTCCCACGTGTACCTGATTTCCATCTTAGCTGGCAGGCTGAGCGGCATGGCTCGCAGCTTGCGCATGCCCTCGCTCGCTGAGAGGCCTCGGAGGTTGGACACCAACTGCTTCCTCTTGTTTTCTGCAAACCAAAAGTTAGAAACGACCAAATGATCTGCTGCACCTGTGGATGTTGCTGACTCACAACAGGAGTTGTCTAATGGAGACATTAGTGACTTAGCATTTTCCGTCCACCTTCAGTAATAATTTCCTCCATGTCTGCCTGGATAGAGTCATCCTGGATTGGTCTGGAGGGGGGAGAAGAATCATGGGAGGTCGCCTGGTGTAGCTGAGATGAGTGTCCGGCACATTGGGAAACTACTGCAGCACCGTTTGTCCCTGTGTGAACAAGGTGCATTTCAAAAAAAAAAAAAAAAACAGCACACACACACACACACACACACATCTGTAAATGACCACTGTCAACAAGCAATTAAGACGGCAGAGGAAAGATTTATCTCACCAGCAGCACGACTGGGCATCGTGGAGAGGACCTTTAGGGTAGCAGCTGACCAGCGGTGCCTCTGCAGAGAGTACGTCTGCTCCTTGTCATGTGTCTCGTCTCTCATGTGTTCGTCTATTCGGCAACATATGTTACTTTTATATGTTTTTCATTCAATCTATACAAAGTACAATTAGAACTCGAGTTGAAAAGAGTTTTGGTAGACATTCTGTATTTTCACCTGCGCAGTCCCATAAAACGTCCATCTGTAGGCTTTCACGACACATCTGGGTGCTGGCTGCTGGCTCTCCAGCGAGCTGGAACGAGTCCTTAGCTGAATCGTCTTCTCCTAGGTTCCTGAAGGAAAGTAACCATCAGAGGAAATAATGACCCAGAGTCCCACAGGCTTTGAGTCAAGACCGAGCAAATATCTCACTTTTCCATGGTGAATTTACCATGTGGGGAATTTTAAATTTTCACTTTTTCTGTCTGAACTCAGATTCTTGAAAGCTTGAATGTGTTCCAGTGCCAAATACTAAGGAGCAAGAGGCCTAGAAAAAGTAACACTAAGTAGCCTACATGCAAGTACAGGTGCTGGTCATATAATTAGAATATCATCAAAAAGTTGTTTTATTTCAGTAATTCCATTCAAAAAGTGAAACTTGTATAATGTATACATTAATTCCACGCAGACTGATATATTTCAAGTGTTCATTCCTTTTAATTTTGATGATTATAACTGACAACTAATGAAAACCCCAAAATCAATATCTGAATTTGAATATTGTGAAAAGGTTCAATATCGAAGACACCTGGTGCCACACTGTAATCAGCTAATTAACTCAAAACACCTGCAAAGGCCTTTAAATGGTCTCTCAGTCTAGTTCTGTAGGCTACACAATCATGGGGAAGACTGCTGACTTGACAGCTGTCCAAAAGACGACCATTGACACCTTGCACAAGGAGGGCAAGACACAAAAGGTCATTGCTAAAGAGGCTGGTTCACAGAGCTCTGTGTTCAAGCACATTAATAGAGAGGCGAAGGGAAGGAAGAGATGTGGTAGAAAAAAAAAAGTGTACAAGCAATAGGGATAACCGCACCCTGGAGGGGATTGTGAAACAAAACCCATTCAAAAATGTGGGGGAGATTCACAAATAGTGGACTGCAGCTGGAGTCAGTGCTTCAAGAAACACCACGCACAGACGTATGCAAGACATGGGTTTCAGCTGTCGCACTCCTTGTATCAAGCCACTCTTCAACAAGACACAGCGTCGGAAGCGTCTCGCCTAAAGACAAAAAGGACTGGACTGCTGCTGAGTGGTCCAAAGTCTGATGAAAGTAAATTTTACACTTCCTTTGGAAATCAAGGTCCCAGAGTCTGGAGGAAGAGAGGAGAGGCACAGAATCCACGTTGCTTGAAGTCCAGTGTAAAGTTTCCACAGTCAGTGATGGTTTTGGGTGCCATGTCATCTGCTGGTGTTGGTCCACTGTGTTTTCTGAGGTCCAAGGTCAATGCAGCCGTCTACCAGGAAGTTTTAGAGCACTTCATGCTTCCTGCTGCTGACCAACTTTATGGAGATGCAGATTTCATTTTCCAAAAGGACTTGGCACCTGCACACAGTGCCAAAGCTACCAGTACCTGGTTTAAGGACCGTGGTATCCCTGTTCTTAATTGGCCAGCAAACTCGCCTGACCTTAACCCTATAGAAAATCTATGGGGTATTGTGAGGAGGAAGATGCGATACGCCAGACCCAACAATGCAGAAGAGCTGAAGGCCACTATCAGAGCAACCTGGGCTCTCATAACACCTGAGCAGTGCCACAGACTGATCGACTCCATGCCACTGTAATGCAGGCAAAAGGAGCCCCAACTAAGTATTGAGTGCTGTACATGCTCATACTTTTCATGTTCATACTCTTCAGTTAAAAATCCTTTTTTGTATTGGTCTTAAGTAATCTAATTTTCAGAGATACTAAATTTGGGATTTTCATTAGTTGTCAGTTTTAATATCAGTCTGTGTAATGAACGCATGTAATATCCAAGTTTCACTTTTTGAATGGAATTACTGAAATAAATCAACTTTTTGATGATATTCTAATTATATGACCAGCACCTGTATGCTTCAATCTAGCAGTTTTCTCCACTGGGTAGGGGCATGGACTAATGAGTATCCAAACGGACATCAAGAAGAATCAAAAATACAACTCAAATATAGTTTATTAGAAGTAACACACAACAATTTGATGAAAGAAGCTTAGTCCTCCAATGTTGATTCATGACAGCAGCTGTATTATAGTTTGTGCTTCTACATTAAAACTAAGTGAATTAGCCCACCCTAGCAGGAAGAGTGAAAGGTACAACTAAACAAAAAAGCAAATAACTATCAAATTGAGTCTTGAGTAGAAAGTTCAAAATGGGACTTACTGATAGTCAGAATCCATTTGGCAAATGTTGACACTCAAGCTCACACTGTAGGCCATAGTTCTTGATTAGCTCCGTTTACTGCAAACAGTACATCATATGAAAAGTAGCAGAGCAGTGCATCTGCATCTCTCTCTAACATGGTAGCAGTCTATTCTTGAATAGTCTGATTGTCAAAACACATCATAGACACTTCCCCCAAATCGTGCCTGCCTCCATCTCTCTCTTGCTCTCTCAGCACAGCTGTTCCTTTTTTGCAATTAATACAAAGTTACCTGTCAACATCTGAGAAAGCACAACTGGTTAAGCATCACAGGTAGGCTACATGTTAGGGACTTGTTAAATAAATAAATCTAATAATAATACACGCCCACCCCCTAAGTTTATAAATATGTTTAATATAAAATTATTTGTTGTTGTTTGAAGCTGGAGTCCAACGTTAAGTAGTGTTTGCTGCTCTCCAGTGGTCACAGTGAAGAACTGCCACACAACGTTCAAGTAGTCGACCCAGGTTCTCTTTTTTACTTGGCCTTATTGAGAAGTTCATCATATACATACAACATATAACGACATACAACATTTGTACCACTGCTGTATTATATTGGTCCTCATTTCTTGGAGAGATTTGTTGGGAAAAAGTTTGGCTTTTGCCACACAAGTTTTTATTAACTAACAAAGAGATCTCGTTCAAAATGCTTCACAGGTTTTACCCCACTAAAGCTTGCTGCTAACATTAAGCACTATGTTCTTTCAATATCTGAGTGTACAAACAAAAAAGCTGTTAAATCATATGACCTCTGTAAGCTTTACAAGATATTTATATAAATTTTTCTTTGGCTTTTGTTAAAATTATACTTTCCTTTTGATAACCCTTGACCTCCCTGTCCATAGACTTTACTGATGTACAGGAGATGTTGTTATCCTGTTGTATGTCCTAATGTTGAATAAAGTTTTTGGGGGGGGACTGTAGAGACTTTTGATGGAGTTTGTGTCTGCACACAGGTGCACTGTGTTGGAACTAATAAAGTGTCACAGTTATCAGTGCAGAGCAGCATGATTCTCTGTTACCTGTTTAACAAACATCTGCACATGAAAAAGTATTTACTGTATGTCCTGAGGCACAGGATAATTTCTACTGGCACAATGCTGATATTATCTGCATTTATATTTATTGATTCTGATTGTAAATTCGTTATTGAATTACCCAGAATATGATCACGGTGTCTTGGTGGATTCATTAGGCTAAATGTTTCAGGGAAATTGTAACTTGGTATCAAAGTTGAGGCTTAGGCTTCCCGTTTATTTCTTCTTCTGATATCCTTTAACACTACTGCATAGGCTACATTTTATTTGCAAATCACATCACTCGTCACCGATTGATCGCTGAATTCCATCATATCAATCCAACGATTTTTTTAGCGCATCAGCTGATTTTACTGGCGTAGCTGCCGGCTGCTTTCATGAGATGCTTTGCTGGCTTCATTACTTTGGTGCAGTTTACTGACTTGTCTGACTCCTAACTTGTTTATTATGTTTTATTGTCGTCTATTTGGACTAAACACAGGAATGACCAGCCTCACATGTGACTGAATAGAAATGACGATAAATTATGTAAAACGTGACAGACTCTCCGACTCTCCCTGACTTTAATTGTCTCCATAATAAAGATTGATGGGAGAAATAAAATAAGGAAAGATCTTTCTAATAAATAAATAAAGTTGTGTGGGGGGCTTTTGTTGTTCAGACCTACAATGAACACCTAGATTTAAACAAGACAGTGAATCATAACACAACTCAAATAGAAGACTTTGCAGCAATACACTTGAGTTTTATGTTATCTGGACGCTCCTTGGAGCGCAAATAAGAGCTTTGGGGTGGCCTGCAAGATGGCAGAGCGGAACAACTTCCGGTTCAAGCAAGGATCGAGGAGCGAGGAAACAAACAAGCATCCACACCAAAGTTTTCTTAACTTAAGATGCTGCATGGAACTGAATAGAACACACGAAGTCAGAGGAATGCAATGACCTTATTACACACTTAGTTTATTCAGCTACTTATTTTAGTTTTTGCTTAATGATGCTATTTGACCAACAATAGTGTATTGATTAATTACAAATATATATTGACATATAGGCTACCTCTCCTCCACTCTATAGGGCAAGAGCCTGCAGGACTTCAGGCAAAAACATAAAATAAAAAGTGTGCAACATCTTTCAGCGTTGTCAAGGTAACTTGATAAAGTGGCAAAGGGCTGTCCCGTTCCTGTTTACAGCATTTTGAGCTCTTGCAGCCTCAATCACTTTCCAAGTGCTGTCAGTAAAGTCTGTGAGGGTTCAGGGCTTAGGGCTTAGGGTTTAGGGTTTAGGGCTTACGGCGGACATTGGGATTGGGCCAGAGACTTGAGAAGCACCCCCAGTTTCAATTTCAGTGCAGACATTCTAGCAGTTAGGTTAGGTGGTAGTGAAGCACAAGCACTGGAAAAACACAAGACACATGAATGCAACATAAAGATCCAAAATCCAAAGAAATTAAACAAAGAGTATAGCCTACATACGCTCAAAAAGATGCTTTTATGGGAACAATACATATGATTCATTCTGATTGTTATTATTATTAAGAGGTATTACTGAGGGTATTCAGAATACAATTAATATACCACCCATTTTAATTGTAAATTTATCCGTATTAATGATTAATCTTTTGAGATGTTTTTATGTATGTGGTGGCTTTATTAGTATGCTGTTGCGTTGAATGTTGCTGTCATGGCAAGGCAAATTCCTAACAACCTTTGTTGTAATGACAATAAAGATAAATCAACTCAGTATGATTTATTATGAAACATTATGAACAGTTGCACCTTGTAAAATAGCCCAGTAGCCTCATGCCTTGTTCACATTCCCCAGGTGACTTGAAGTCACGACAGTGTCCTACAGTTGAAAAAATAACTGAGGCTATTCAAAATATGTATTTTTTATTTTATGCGCGTGGTATTTACGGTTATAAAGACAGCAAATATCACCACGGCACCCAACATCTGCTCTGGACCATAGACTTTAGAACGGTACATTTTTTACATAATTCGGGTTGGCAGTTTACGAGGAGCGCGGGAACGCACCACAGAAGGGGCGGTCTTTGAAAAGTTTTCCGGAAGTTATTTGACAAAACGAAACTCCCCCAACTTTGACAAGAAGACTTTTCCAGCTCGTCGTTTCAGTGTTGGACAGGCATTTTTGGGGGGCGAAAAAAATGCAGAGCAGTGCGTACGGGGCCTCGTTGGCTGGCGGTGCTTTTGATTTAGAGAATTTTGTAAAACAGCCTCAGACCATTTTGCGCTGCCTGAGCTGGGTGAGTGACTTAACACGGAAACGTTAGCATCAAAGTTAGCCTGCTGTCACATCACCGAGTTTGTGTTAACAGATGTGAGCTGCCAGGATCGACACAAATCAGTCAGTTATGCAGCTTGTCAGCTTTCTGAACTGCCGACACCGGGCATGAACAGGCTGTTATGTTTAAATGTTATATAAACGTTACAAAAAGTGAAAATTTAAAAAGTATTTTCCTTAGCACTTGTAGGTATTAGCTAATGTTAGCTAGCGTGTGCAGTGCTGTGTCACCACACTAACTGCCAGTTCTCCACCTGATGATGGACGGCGTGTTTGGCGTTTCTTTCTTGTCTTAACTTACTCTGGTTGTAAAAGTGGACCCGGACACCGAAGAGTTAAAAATCACGGAAGACGTCGCTGTCTGTTTGCTGAGTGCTTACAGTGTGAGAAAAGATCGGGAATTTAAACTTCAGCGTCATCTGTTGAGCTCCACTTGGTTTGCAGAATTGTTTTCAAATGCGCAACGTTATGGAGGCCAGTTAGATTAAGAGAAATATAGTAGTAATACACTTTATTCATACCACACTCTTCTAAAATACATTTACAAAGTGCTTTACAATAAGATATAAAACAGTAAAACAAAATGATAAAACAATACAAATGATCAACAAGACACTTAAAGGTTATTTTAAAAGGGTGTGTTTTGAAAAGAACATCTCTTCAAATAAAGTCCTTTCAAGTTATGTGAGCCCTGACTGCTAAGGCTTTGTCATCTCTGAAGATCAGAGAAAAATAATTAAGAGTTTGTTATGGGTGCAGGGATGCCAGGATTGATAAACTACGAATGTAGAGTTAGCTCATTAATCTAAATTGTTGCTGCTTATTAATCTTCTCTTGTTTTAACTCCACTCTTGTGTGAATAGTGGATCAGAAACAAGAGTAACTTTTCTTAATGCCATATTTACAGTGTTCAAATAGATCAGGAAATGAAACACCATCTGCTCAGCTCCACTTGTCTGAGCTGGTGTGACTGATATTTTTCTAGGAATTAACATGTTCAAAGCTTTCTTGCAATGTGAATCATGTGATAAGAATCACATGGGGCCCCAACATGCATCTTTCAGTCCCTCCCTTATGGCATTAACTCTGCGTCTCTTCTTTGCAGTTATTCTCCATCGTGGTCTTTGCAACCATCACAGCAGAAGGCTACATTAACTCAAAATCCGAGTCTGAGGCCAAGTGCATGTTCAACGAAAATGACAGCGCCTGCAACTACGCAGTCGGAATCGGCATCCTGGCCTTCTTGGCCTGTGTTGTCTTCCTCATGCTGGACGCCTACTTCCCACAGATCAGCAACGCCAAAGAGAGAAAATTCATTGTTCTAGGAGATTTCATCTTCTCAGGTGAGAGTTTCACTGTAGACCGCTCATACTAGAATAAAGGAACTGTGCCCCAAAAACAAGAAGTGCAGCCTAGTTGAGGTTAATGCTGTGATCATTTTTTATCTTAATACTGACTCTTTATTTCTGTGCTTTGAATATGACATGCTCAACGTGGGACAGCGGCTTGGACGTTTCTGTGGTTCATCTGCTTTTGCGTCCTGGCCAACCAGTGGTCCAAAACGACGTCTGATGTTGTGTTCAGTGATGCCGCCCGCGCTGTCATTTCCTTCTCCTTCTTCTCGATCGTGACCTGGGTGAGCCTCTCTTCACCCCCTGCATTTCTCAAACAAAATCGCATGATGACACATAACTTTTACCAGAGAGTCGTGTAAAACGTACTGATTCCGACTTCTCTCAACAGGCTCTCCTCCTCTACTTTGCGTATGGAAGGTATCGCCAAGGCGTCACTGAGTTTGACCAGGACTACAGAGACCCAGCCAACGACCAAACCACTCCATACCCGCCTGCTCCGTACGCCAGCAGCGGCCCCACAGGCTACCAGCAGTCGCCTTTCTCCCACAACCAGGACCAACCGGGAGAGTACCAGCCTCCGTCTTATTGAAGGACTGTGATTCAAAACGTGGGAATCCAAGGGGAGTTTTCTTTTTAAATAAAGATGTGTGCCAATGGTTTCATTTATAACTTGGACTGTTTTCTGCACTCCCATTTTCTTCCTGCAGAACGTATTTGCATTTTGTTGGGGGGGGGCGGGGTGCACTGGTATGTTTTTAGTTAATTTCATTGTTAAAGTTGTTTGGATCTCTGTTTGCTGTGTTGTTTGAAGTGCCAAACACAGCAGGTTAAAATAATGTTGTGTTTTTTTTGTTAGGAGGTTGTCTTGGTAAGAGAGAAGATGGCCGCGCCATTGTTGTCTTTGTGCCAAACCAGCTGTGGTTATTTCAGTGCCCCCTTTTGGTTTCGTGTTTTTTTTTTTTTTTTTTTTTTTTTTGTGCAATTTGAAGAGCTTTTAATATCAAAGCACTAAGCAACAAACAGGATAGAATTTAACTTTGTTACTGGGAAATCTGTTTTGCATTGTTTGGACTGATGATTGTTTTATGAATATGTTACTATTTAGTACATATAAATGTATTTTCATTACACTCATTTTAATTTACAGCAGTACAATAACTGTAATGTAGCAATACAGTTCAGTACATATTGTTTTTCCACCACAAAACAAACCTATTTCATTTAATCAGTGGGAGTATTGAAAATGTTCCCTCTTAACTACTGTAATGCCATTATTATTTTTTTTAATAATCAACCACTGAAAAATGTCTTTTATGCACTGAAAAACTGTTAATTTTGGGGGGCAGTTCATTGCCAACATCTGATTTGTTCATTTTAATGTTTTAAATCCAATTCTGCCACAGTTTGGTTTAGTATTTAAAGGTATTTTTTGTTTTCTTTTAAGGTAGCCAAACCATTCATTGTATCTGCTACCTCTAGGAGTGTGTAATATGCCTTTTCATGAGTTCAGTTTTTTTTAAATATCCAACTCAGCAAATGTTTCAGCCATAATTTGATTTTAGGAATTCGGAGATATGGGGGTAGATTGATATATTTATTATCTTACTTAATCCTTCCAGTCCAGGTATATGACAATCAAACCGTAATTGTTTTCTGGTTTTGCCTCTTGCTTCTCATTGCTTTTCTCACACTGTAGTTGTACCTTTTTACATGAGCTGCAGTTTCACTGTTTTACTCAATGGCTTTACAGTAATTCCCCGTTCAAGTGCCTTATACAGTATTCTGTATCACACTGGGTTTGCCAAATAAAAAAACTGTTCTTGTTTTGAACCTCTGGGTCAGGCTATAATTTGTATCCTCTTCTAAAGAAAGAGCCGGACTCTGCGCAGGGCTGTGCTCCCTTTGTAAATATTTGAGTAGCGATTGTGTGTGTGTGTGTGTGTGTGTGTGTGTGAATGTTGAGGGACTTGTGAAGTGTGGAGGTGGCACTGTAATGGTGTAAAGACAATAAGATCTACGCATACCTTACAGAAAAACAAAACAAAGATGTCAAAGGTGCATATTTTCACATTATGTATCTAGACTTTAACCAACATGTATTGCATCTGAGTTACTGAGAGTTCATACAGTTGGTGTGAGACTGGAACAAAAGGACTTTAGCATAATGGAGAATACTAGAAAGTATTAAAAAGGCAATAATATTCACCTTAATCTTGAATGAGATGTTCTTTGTTATGTTTTAGCAATAGATTTAGGGAGCTTTGGAAAACCACTTTTCATATTTACCACATTAAAAAACTGGAGGATCAATTTCACCATTCAGCAAAATGTGTGTATGGCATTCATTTCTTAGATTCTCCCCTCACAAAGTTCTTTCAAACAACAAAAGGACAAAGTAACAATACAAATCAGAAGAGAGGGATGATGACAAACTCTATAAAACTGACATTGTAAATTGCCACATAAGAGTACAGAAAAAACACAAATCAAAACTTACCTAACAATCTAGTATCCCTTCCACATTTGGTAGGCCACATGTCACACTCTGCATAACAGAAAGGTTTCGAAATATGAAAGAAAAAAGGCCCAAAAGCCTTCAAATAACAAAGGAGAGAAGGAATAACTTAAACACTGGGGGAGCAATTTCCTTCAGTGGTAACACAATACTTTTCTACGTTTTATGTTATCAAAAAAAAAGGATCAGGCATAAAGATGTGGGATAATGTTAACCTCTATCAAACAAACTTATCTGGTCAAAGCCAAAAACGACTTCATAAACTCCTTATTTTCTTTTACATCTAGTTTTGTGGGAATTATCTTTCGAGAAAATTATGAATATGTTTAAAATTAGCCTCTTACAAAATATCTTGGCTTTATTTCCCAAATATAATAATTAGAAAATTAGTCAAATCTAAGCTCCCGTCGGTTCTGACTCTATAAATGTGTACAGATATTATTCTAGGTTTCTTATCAAAGCAGGATTTATAAGATAATTGACTGTACTCATATTCCAATTCCTGTGGAGCTTGCCTACTTCAGACGGACACAGCCACGTTATAACGGAAGTCAGTTAATAAAGATTTGTTTTCCACTTAAAATGTCTTGAATCCACGCAGGAATAACGTGTTCTGCGCTTTAATGTCGTCTCTTAGTTCTTACATTTTCGACAGCACTTGAAGGCGCCGTTTGACATCAACCAGTACAGGACGCCGTCGTCATCAGCACATACAGGAAGTAATGATCGGCTGCCTGGTCAACGCGGAACGGAGGAGAAGGAGGCGAGAAGGAGGCGATTCAACAATGACACCTGAGCTCCAACCACCAGCGGACTGCGAGCCGAACATCTGACATCTGTGGTAAGTACGAAGCCAGACGAGAGGCCGCCGGCGGACCTGAAACGTTTCAGGTCGCAGCGATTAGTGATGGCACCCGTGTTAACCTCTGCGCTGCTGGCAGGCCAGGGACATGAGCTATAACAGTTAACACACACACATTATAACGTTACATGCATGCACAGGAGGAGCTGAAATCGTGGCCTTTCTTAACAAAATAACTCTACAAATGAGCAGTTTATAATAATGAATACGATAGATGAAGCTGTTGGAGCTCAGAGCTTTAGAGGTTTGTGGATTAAAGAGCTGCAAATAGCATAGTGGGAATATCAAAGGACCATTCAGGGGGCCTCTGAGAGAGTATGCAACTAAATGAAATATACTTAAGTATGGATCCTTGTATCATACAGCATCTTCTCATTGAATGAAACCAGGTCCGTAGTGTAATGCACATCTGTTTGACATGCAGAGGATTGGGAATCTGCCTTACAGCTATAAGTGAACTATTTATGGGCCTCACATTCACTCTCTGTCTCCTTGATGTGTTTCCTTTGAAGTGCACCTCCCCAGATGTCATCCTTTATGGTGGCGCAGAGTTTAACTTATCACATCAGGGAACCCCCAACTTTCTAAATGTCAGGGGCTTATCTTTAGGCCTACCTAAAACTGTCCAGGCTAAACCAGGACCTCATACTGAATTACACAACTGCCCATGTTGTCGTACATATTGTTGTATGAATAAATTCATTTCATTGTGCGAAAATGACTTTGATAAGCTTAGAAGTTGCTTGTTCACTAATTCGGAACAGAAAATTAATTGGCAACACTTTTGATGATCAATAAATCTTTTAAATCAAATTTCATGCAAAAATGACCAAAAACCTTTAGTTCCAGGTGCTCAAATGTGAGGATGTTCTTTTTATCTCCATTTTCTATATCAGTGTTAAATTGAATATCCTTGGGTTTTGGATTGGTGATTGGACAGAACCATTATTCTGATGATGTCACCTTGGACCTTGGACTTTTTCACTTTTGTATCAGCTGATAGTCAAAATGACTGGTTGGTCATGTGGAGAAAATCTTCTATCAAGGTATCATTTTAGATTGCAATATCGATTTAAAATATAGTAAACTTTTTGAAAACAAAGTTGAGAAGCTTTTTATAGATAACATAACTTGATTAAACACTTGATCATTCGCGGGCCTTTAATCAAATTGATGCAAGAATCCTGTAAAAGAAATATTGCTGTTGCAACGTTGCCCACGATGGTCTAATGCAACCAGAGATATTAAATGGACCTCAGTGCAAAATGTATGGCACAATCTCAGACACTTTCTAATGTCTCATGTTATGTAGATTGTCCCAAACCTACATTGCATATTATGTCATTTAATTGTGCACCATTCTGGCAGTAATGTGATAATGTAATCTGAAAGCTTTTAGGACCACTTTGAGAAGCTTAGAAGTTGCTTGTTGATTAATAATTCACTTCCTGACTCGAATTCCTAACGTGTTTTTGGAGGAGTTAATCAACAGTGGTCAACAGTTATACTGGGTTCCTGTAGCTTCTCTGTTGACACTGTAACTGCTCTGCTGTTGTAATCAAGCTGACCTCTGGCCACAGTCCAGTCATAGTGCACAGAGTACTGATTGCGTCACACACAGAAACACCTCCGTTATGTAGGATTCAAATTCTTGTAGAGCCGCAGGTTTGTTTTTAGCATCTACTCCGCCGGCAGGATTTGCAGCTTTTTCCCCCTTTTAGTGCAGGCTGAGTTATTGTGCAGGTAATAAATGTCTGCCTAACCTCTGGTACCTGGCCTTTCAAGGGCTGCCATGATGAATGATAACTTAATGAATTGTGTCGGGCCTCCTGCAAGGTTTGCCCCTTTGGACTGGATCGTAATCCTCCAAGTCTAGTTAAAGTTCACTAGCATTATAACAGCCCCTAGTCATGGTTGCACTGCAAATAATCTGTGAACAGAAAGAGAGTACAGAGCTCGGTACAGGTTGTCGAGGGTTTGCTTTAAGGGTAGAAAGGTATATCTGATGATGCGGGGTCAGCGTTCTGGCAGGAGGCGACAAAGGGGTAAGCCGGTTCAATTATTTAATTTTAGTGAAGGTGAACACAGCCATTTTAAATTAATTAATAACAGCCACTTGTTGGTGTATTTCAGGGAGGATAGCTCTCATCATTGTGGCCCTGATGTTGCTGCCATAATAGACTGCTGTTTGGCTCAGGGGCCCTCATATAAAAGAGTCTTTCAGCTCCTTTCAGAGGAGTGCAGCCATGTTTAGATTGTGAGGCTCCTGGGGCCGAGTTTAGAGGTTCCTGGAATTTGGTTGGGAGAATATACAAAATGTCTACTGGTCTGAAGCCTGGTGGTGACCCTTCAAGTGTAGAGAACAACAAATGGATGCGGTCACATCAGTTTGTTGGGTGTTAAAGAAGAAACACCTGAAAAAAACTTTAAAAAAGCAAGACCCATGTGTTTATTTTCTTTTTTGTTTTGTTTTTCCTAAGTTTATATGTCCGATGGCTTATTTCTTTTGTAAAGCATTCTGACGTTCTGCTCTTTAATGTTTAACTGAACTGGAGCTGCAACTAAGGACTATTTTCCTTAACTACTGGATTGATCAATTAATCATTTGGTCCATTAAAAGTCAAGAAATAGTGAAAAATGTCCCTCACCATTTCCCAGAGCCCAAAGGGACGTCTACAGATGTCTTATTATGTCTGAAAACCAGCAAATTTGCACTTTTAAGACGCTGGAAACATCATGTTTGACTTTTTTGCTTGGGGTGGTGGTGGCACATAGATAAGATGCTTGCCTTTGGTGTGGGAAATCTGGGTTCAATTCCCACTGTGAGACATCCACCATTGTGTCCCTGAGCAAGACACTTAACCCCTAGTTGCTCCAGAGGTGTGCGACCTCTTTATTTATTTATTGTAATTGTAAGTCGCTTTGGATAAAAGCGTCAGCTAAATGAATCCATCGCATCCATCCATCGTCAACCGCTTATCCTACGTACAGGGTCACCAGGCGGGGTACACCCTGGACAGGTCGCCAGTCCATCACAGGGCCACACATAGACGAGCAACCACTCACGCTCACATTCACAACTAAGGACAATTTAGGGTAACCGATCAACCTAGTCTGCATGTCTTTGGATGGTGGGAGGAAGCCGGAGCACCCGGAGAGAACCCACGCAGACACGGGGAGAACATACAAACTCCACACAGGGCAACCAGGGTTTGAAATCACAACCTTCTTGCTGTGAGGCGACAGTGCTAACCACCGCACCACCATGCCGTAAATGAATACATTATAAATGTAAAATGCTTCCAAATAGTTGATGATTAATTCTCGATCAACTAATCAGTACTTTGACTAATGATTTGAGCTTGGCCATGAAGGGGGAAAGGGTTAGTTTGGAGCTAACTATTATTTCCATTATTTATTCATCTGTTGGTTATCTTATGATTTAATAATTAACAGTTTGGTCTGTAAAATGTCAAAATTGTGAAAAATGCTTATCTCAGTCCAAATGTCTTGTCTAATTTGAACAACGGCCCAAAACCCAAAGATTGCAGTATTCAAAGATAGAAAGCAGAGAATAGAAACAACTTGTGACAATAGAGAAGCAGGAATTTGGGCATTTTTTTGGCAAGTTCTTGTGACAGTGTATGTGCCACATCAGCAGGCTGGTTGTGTATTTCCTGATTTACCTGCTTACAGCAGCCGTCCCTTCATTGTCACTGAATGGGCCCCTCCCAGTCACCACGTTGACACAACACACTGGTGGCCACCTGAGATTCACCCAACCTAAAGCTAGGCTACTTCCTCCTTCTTGTCATTCACTGTTTCAACCCGGCACACCCTCAGTTGTGTGAGCTCTCTAGAATTTAATATAGTATTTAAAATAATTTGAAATAAATGACCTGCCTGCCACTGGGACCAAAGATTTGATTTAGGGACGGACAGACACTACTTATGGAGAGTATGTGAGTAGTATTGAGTGTTATTTAACTTGGTCAGACTAATGAATGGAGAGAAACTGGTTTGTCTTCAGATAACTTATGCATAACCAATGTATTGCATGTCTAAGCCAATATGCATTATTTTTGCTCATTTAAGTGAGTTATTACAGGGTTAAGGAACATTTATACCTTTGGTTTGTTAGGTATTTGACCACAGGCAAAGGCAGGTGTAACAACTTCTTCCTGCCAACTGAAACAGTATAGCTGTACATCCCAACATACTATGGCTTGTTTCTGATAGAAAAGATCCTGTATAACCGGCATTGTGACCTGTATTTGAGGAAAAAATTAGGCATATTAAAGTGATACTATGTAACGTTTGAAAGAAGAAATAACACATTTCTTTTACAAATAAAAAGTTGAATTTATAATAAAACACACCACTGCTCAATTTAATACACACAGGGTTGTTGCTTCTAGAGCCAGTAGTTTTGATGGCTTAATATTAGCAGACTTTAGCTAGATATTGCTCTGTAAACAGACTGTTTGCAGACTTTCTGACTCTTCTCCACTTTTGCTATTGTTACACTGTGTTTTAGCATTTACCATTATCCCTTCATTTGAGGCAACAGTGGCTACTGTTCAGCCAAAGTTGCGTAGTCTCACTTTAAAGTCACAGTGAAACGGAATTTTGAGCAGCTTTAACGTCACCAATGTCACATAACAAAATATGTGGGCTAGGGGTTAGTAACAACAAGATTTGAATGCAGATCCTACTGATATGATTGGATCGCTCAAAATTGTTTGTGGTTTATAATACAGTGCAATACAGAGCGGTACAGAGAGATGGAGCTCTGGAGCTACAGAGTCAAGTCAGTTTTAGTTATATATTGCAAATTTGCCTCAGGGGGGCTTCACAATCTGTGCCCTCTCATTCCAGGGTGTCAAATACCGACGCTATGAGAAAGCCTGACAAAGTGTCGATATTTAACTCACAAGATGCCTTTCTGCATCCATATGAGATGACCTGGGCTTTCAAGTAACTCCAATGTGACCCATCTGCCATCACGTAATGTGCCTGTTTCAACCCCAACCTTTTTCCTAACCCTTACTAAGTAGTTTTGGTGCCTAAACCTACCCAAAATGCATACATACCACTTATTAAAAAGGCCTTTCATACAGACTCTGAAGTCCCCTTATTAAAAAGGTGACACTGAAGGGTATCTTCTCAGGCTTTCTCAAAGCATTGGTATTTGGCACCCTGAGATGAGAATGTGTTGGCAATACCATGCCCTCTGTTCTTAAACCTTCCATTCGTATGAGGAAAACTCCCCTAAAATGTCATGGAGAGCAACAGTGGAGGGATTCCTCTCCCAGAACGGACAGACATGCAATAGATGTCATAGGTACAGAATAGACCATCTTAATAAAAATTAATCAATAGGGCCATCAGGATGACAAAATTACAAATACATTGCAACATATAAGAAGCATGGATCTGAGAGGATGTCCAGCAACTTCCAGGTGCCGCCGCACAGATGGGACATAAACTGCATGACCTCCTCTCCACCATGGAGACCTGGAAAGAGGGCAAACTACACAAATACAGAGAGGAGAAAGGAAACAAACACACAGAGTGTGTGAGAGAGAGAGACAAGAACAACATGCACACAAGGGATAAGGAGGTGAGAGAGACAGAGTGAAAAGAGAGCACACGGAGGAGAAACTAGGGAGAGATAGCCACACAGCTGTGCTTGTGGGACAAAAACAAACAGGGTTAGCCACTCCCTCAGCAGGATAAGGGTGAAATTATTAAATAGGTCTTATTAGTATTATTTAGAAATATAAAAGTTTTTGCCAAACGCACAGCTCCTACTAAGATATTGCTCTGCTAGCTACCTTGTAGCTAATGGTCATTCTTTTAGGGGGGAAATGGCACTTCCACATAGAAGTGAGAAACCAAAAAGCTGTTCCGTATCTGATTGGAGAACATTCATACAGTATAGCACCATCATCACTAACTAAATCCCAGCCTAGTCTGGTGACTGACTCTGGGAACCTAACTTCCTTGCTGGCAGGTTTTCTTCAACAAACTCTTGAGTTTCTCTCTGACTCTTACCCTCCTGCAGAGCTGAAGGACACACCATTTAATTTCCTCATTCACACAGTTGCACATACCGAACTCATTAATTTGCAGACATTTACATCTTTAGAAACATCTAAATCCTGGTTAGATAAGTGTTTGTTACCCATGATCTTTCACATTATTGCTTTTATGATAATGGTCACTGATGTAAGAACAAAGACAACGATCTCTGGACATAGAATAAAAGAATAAAATCTATAGGCTACACTGTCCTTTGTCTATCCCCTAAAAATGTGTTGGTCTGCTGCATAATATAAATGGTTAACAGGGACTGTATTTACCTACTTGTTGGGTTATGGTGGGATCTTAAATATAAGCTATGATAGAGTAGTAGAGACTATAATCCATCAATCAGTCGATAAATTAGTGAATACAGATGAGGCCTTTTCTTTTTGACAGTCTGTTATCCTGACTTACTGTCTCTTTTTCTTTAGGTCCCTCCAGGCCTCCGTCCCCTATGCCTGCTACCCCGGGCTTCACTCAGGTGGGGCAGAATGATCCTATGAACAACCTGCGAATCTCTGTAGGAGGCCTCCCTATGTTGGCTTCCATGGCCAACACCATCGACCCTCGTTTCCGCCTTAAGTGGAGGCCCATCGTGGCGGTGGCCCTCTCCATGGCCTTGCTTCTGCTGCTCTTCATGTACATGAGCTCAAGCTTGCACTCCCGCTCTTACGGCTCACAAAGCTGGAGAGCCGGTCCCAGTGACACCCAGTCGTCCAGTTCTGGCTACAACGACACCTACCCTCTCAGTCCGCCTGAGCACACGTCGCAGGGCACCCGCTACCGCATCGGGGTCATTGCCGACCTTGACACAAGCTCTCGTAGTGACAAGAAGCTGACATGGTTCAGCTACATGCGGCGGGGCTACCTGTTGGTATCCCAAAGTGGTGACAAGGTAGCAGTTCAATGGGATGCGGACAGGGTGATGCTGGAAAGCCACCTGTCGGAAAAGGGCAGGGGTATGGAGCTGTCTGAGCTGGTGGTGTTCAATGGGAAGCTCTACAGTGTCGATGACAGAACGGGCGTCGTCTACCACATTGACGGTGACAAGGCTGTGCCCTGGGTCATCTTACCTGACGGCGACGGCAACGTTGCCAAAGGTCAGCATTACCCTGCTCTCATTCAATTCAATATTTTTCTTGAGAATTTCCATTTTATGCTACTTTATAGTACTCCAATAGATTTCAGAGGGAAATATTGTACTTTTCCCCTCCTTGCATTTTTCAGATTAAGATTTTAAATTTAAAAAGAACACAACATTTAAGTGACTTTAGTGAATAAGTGAATATAATCTATTGTTAAATGTGCAGTGTGTAAATTTTAGTGGCATCTAGTGGTGAGAGTTGCGAATTGCAACCAACAACTCATTCACCACTCACCTCTCCCTTTCTAAGCATGTAGGAAAACCTCCTGTGGCTGACAAGTTCTGTCGGCTCTTATGCTAAATAATGCATACAGTCCTCCATTTATACAAATTTTCCTTCCCTTTCTTAATTCTAATAAACTAGATGACTAGTACTTCTACTACAACTTCTTCTTCTTCCATCTTTTTCAAACATATTCAACGTAGTGGCGAAAAATGCTCTGTAGAGCAGTTTGTCCGTTTGGGCTACTGTAGAAATATGGCGGAACAGCATAGCGACCTCCATGTAAGGGGACCCACGATGTATGTAGATAGAAATGGCTCATTCTAAGGTTATAAAAACAGTTTTTTTTTATCACGATTCAAATGTCTGTGTTCTTAGCTGTTCGACACAAGACAGGTTTCCCTAATCTAATCTTTTTACAAGGATTAATTTAAATAACTGTTCAAATAAGTCTTCTTGTGATCCTTTGAAGGGTCCAGAGCCCTAGTCCAACGACTTGACTACAATATTTAACGGTATATAAAATAGTTATCAACAGTAAAATGCTACTTGCACATTGGTGCATCAGCATTAACAATGTAATAATGTAACATAGGATTATGAGTACATTCACGGATACTTTAGGTATATTCGTCTGCTAATACTTTTACTTAAGTAGGAATTTGAATACAGGAGTGGAGTATTTGTATGTGTTTGAGTGATACTTTCACTGCTTATGTACTTTCTCCTGATAGGGTTCAAAGCTGAGTGGATGGCAGTGAAGGACAAGCACCTGTATGTCGGCGGTCTGGGGAAAGAGTGGACCACCACTGAGGGCGTGTTTGTCAACAACAACCCAGAGTGGGTGAAAGTAGTGGGCTTCAGAGGGGATGTACAACATGAGAACTGGGTTCCCAAGTACAAATCTCTGAAGTCTGCTGCAGGGATAGAGCCTCCAGGTGTGGATGCAATTCTGTTTTTTTCTCACTATTGCTTGCATTTCTTTTCTCTTCGATTACCATATTCCTCTCACTCACTATAGGTTATCTTATCCACGAGTCCGCAGCATGGAGCGACACCCTGCAGCGCTGGTTTTTCCTCCCTCGGCGCGCCAGCAAGGACCGCTATGAGGAGACAGCAGACGAGCGTCGCGCCACAAACCTTGTCCTAAGCTGCTCGCCAGATTTCAAAGACATCATTGTGAGTCGAGTGGGTCCACTGAACCCCACACACGGTTTCTCGTCCTTCAAGTTTGTCCCCAACACGGACGACCAGATCATTCTGACTCTCAAGTCAGAGGAAGATGCCGGAAAGATTGCTACGTACATCATGGCCTTCACACTTGACGGACGCATCCTTTTACCCGAAACCAAGATTGGGGATGTGAAATACGAGGGCTTGGAGTTCATATAGACTGACAGAGTCACTCTTGAGGCAACCGCACTGTTTTCAGAAAGCGAGCACAATATAGTAACGTTTCTTTTTATGAATGTACAATGGATTTATCAAACTGTGATTTTCTTTCTCTAAAGCAAACATCTTCATGCACATACTGTACACTCTCAAAAAATCAAATGGGGTCTTTCCCCCATTTGCTCCATGTTAAACATCATTCTGTACACACCAAACATTTTAATTTCAGTGGAATGACTAAAGGTCTGTTTTTATTCTTCATAAAACTCAGCATTATTTGAAGGACAGTTTGTATGTAATGCTTTTGGTGGGATTGAGTAAAATCTTGGCTCTTATACACTGCCTCATGCAACTTAATTCACATGCGAGGTTACCTAGTTCAAACAGAAATGAGGCATTGTCCTTAAACAAGTCGAAACTGGACTGTTGTGCAACACCCTGATTTTCTTCATGTGAAATGAAAGTTAAGGAAAGCAGCAGGAATGGAGAAGTGAACTTAAACATTCCGCTGCCACCCCCCTGTTTTAGCAGGAGTGAGTTTTTGTCACAGTTCAAAAGAGAGAAGCACGCTTTCAGACAACAGCTCTTTATAACCAGAGGGGAGAAGGTAATGTGGTTTTGTTATATGTAAGGATTTTGCACAATTTGTCTTTTAAGTTTGATGTTTAAATTTTATTGCACACATATAGCATAATCAGTTTGAAAAGATTTTAAATTGTATTCCATCTTAATGAAGGCACATTAAAGTACAGACAAAAGCTGTGGTGGTTTTATATTCACCCTTTGAAGCATTAAATTTATAGATGTATATGCAGAAAGAACAAAATAATGCAGTTCTACTCTTTGTGCTCTTGTTTAAGATAAATATAATTCATAGCGTAATCTTACATTGTAAAGTAAAGTAGAGAGAGCATATTTCTCACATTGCTGTCATCGTCTGTTTGTGTTACAGTCCTACACTGGCGGTTGGAAATGTTCGGATGTCGAAAACTGTGCACTCTGTGGCCTCTGCTACTTCTCCATGTCTCTGGAAGTGCATTCAAATTTGACATATTCAGTGAGTCATCCGAAGCAACTCATAAAATGCTTAAAATTTTGCCTTGAAATTTTAATTATAGAGCAATACAATAATTCTGTACTATTTTTTTTGATGTAGAACAATAAACTAGGCAATACCTATACTATGTGCTATGTACAAATCTGTTCTGGCTGTGCTCATTCAGTTTCTGAGTGTTTGTATAACCTCTCATGGCCTTGATTACGCCTTTGTTTGCACACAGAAAGAAACCCTGAGTCGCGGGAAGGTGACGTGAGGCTCTCTGGCTCTCAGAGTGTTTCAGAGGGGCGTGTGGAAGTCTACCATGAAGGGAAATGGGGAACAGTGTGTGACGACGGCTGGGACATGGCTGAGGCCCAGGTGGTGTGTCGTCAGCTACACTTCCCCAGGGCCAAATCTGTTGTCATTGGGAAGGACTACGGACAAGGTGCCCTCTATTTCCATTTACCCCCCACCAGAGGGCAGTGAAGGTTTTGTAATGACTGACGAGCTGTGAACAGAGGTTTAACACAGTCATAATGTGCCAAGTAACAAATGTGTTGCCTTTCATTTTACCTCATAGCGTCTGGACCTATTTGGCTGGATGATATGACATGCAAAGGCACAGAGAACTATCTGTCTGCTTGCGCTTTCAAAAGCTGGGGAGTAACTGACTGCTCCCACAAAGAGGATGTTGGAGTTATTTGTGAAACAGACGGTATGTATCTAAACTCTTTCTCCTTTTATATTGAAAGCATGATGTCATCTGATCCAGTAAAAAGAAATCAAAATTTTGTGTGATCACTGCTCGTTACTCTTTATGCTCATTTTATATCAAACGTTCATCCCAATGTCTTGTGATTTCAGACGAAAACGTGACCAGGGTTGATTCGACACATTCGCTGGACCACAGCATCGGGCTGTCTGATGATCTTGGCCAGATCTTTGACAGCGGGAATGGCTGCGACTTCCTGATCTCAGTTCAGAGTGAAACTGGAAACAGGAAGGAGGACGGGACGCCGGAGGTGGTTGGGACAACGATTTGTGCGCACAAAATTATCCTCTCACGATTCCCACTCTTAAGTGTTTCAGAGGGGAAGACGAACATCACAGTCAACGTCAGCCAATCCTGCCAACCATATTTCACCTCCTTCATCAGGTATCCTGAAATTCATATAAATATTACCCGGGTGTTATGTGAGCATGTAAAGAAAAACTAAAAATCTTAATCTTCATTTAAAAAAATAATTATTCTACAATCTGGTTCTCAATAGGTACATATACACCCGCAAGATGGATGTCACCTTCTCCTCTGTGCAGTGCCTCCACTGGATGGCTTCAACGTTTGGGGTCAAGCAGCTAATGGAGGACGCAGGCCGGCTGTTCTCTAAAATCCTCCCAGAGGACGCCTCGTTTCACACCCAGGTGTCCCTTGCGGAATATGCAAAGGAAACTGGGGACTTTGTCCTCCAGGAGAGCTGTATTCAGTATATGGCCTGGAACTACCAAAATCTGACCAGGTCTCCTGCTTGGACCCGCCTTTCCGTCGAGCTCCTTGGAGCCCTGCTAGCCCGCTCAGACCTGGTGGTGCCAGATGAATATTTTCTGCTCCAGACCTTGGAGAGCTGGATCACAGAGAAGGGCAACTCGACCAGTTTGGAAACCCAGGTTGACCTGTTGAGCCGCATTCGTTTCCCCATGATCCCCGCTGAGAAACTATATGATCTGGAGTCCAGCTCTTCTCTCTACAGCACTCATAAGGACATGTATCGTGAGAACATGTTGAAAGCATACCAGTTTAATGTTCTGCTCTTTAGCAATCAGTCCAACTCCGTGTACAATACAGAAGGTGATTATTACCAGCCCAGAATCTACACCGCTAAACCATGGAGCACTGCTATTGGGTCTTCAACGAAAACTCCATTAAATCCAGTCCCACCCCCCTATAGTTCATACGGATATTATAGAAATGGCTATGACTATCGTTATCTTTATCCCACTGTCAGTCCATATGGTCAAACAACCAAGTTGTTCAGCACACCTGTCCACAACAGCCTGCTCTTTAAGGACAACAAGATTCAGTGGGAGGCAAACGTCTTCAAGAGCCAACGTGAATGCTCAAACCGAGGTCTGAGGTGCGAGTCGTTCCCTGTGGCAAGGCTGTTTCCCCAAAACCAGCTCACCCAGCAGAGCAACATCCTCTTTCGCAACCGGCTCCTGTTGGTGTGCCAAGGCAAGTACATCTGTCAGGTTCAGGACTTCAAAGTCAACCTGGCTTATATCGCTGTGAATGAGACCCAGGTCTCTGCCTATCCCTGTCCTGATGACCAGTACACCACCTACCAATTTGTAGTGAGACCACAGTATGTCTGATCCAGAATCGGAGCCAGGCTTAATAGTCCTCACATTTGATCAATTTGTCTGCCTATTATTCAATAGATTGCAATGATACCACAAGATTATTCATGTGAGTTTTCTTTTTTCATTAATCTCTTGTTGATTAGCTACACATGTATCACCTGGTTGGCTGTGCTTTAATTCATATCAAGCAAATAAATAAAGAGTGATTTCTAGATCCTTTTCTGTGTGTGTCATCACTTTTCTTATAAAAGACCCCATGTGTCCTTCACAAGAGCAACAGAAAATACTGATCCTCATTGGGTGTTGTGCCAGATATGAGTCTCATGAAATGACAAGTGTAAACAGGGCCAAGTTAAACTTAATCATCAGACAGATTTATAGCTTCCCTCCCCTGGACGTGTGCAGAAAGTTTCAGTTCTGGGCCAAATGCTGTATTTTACGTGTGAGCTCTCTCCTAAGGTTTAATCCCAGTGTACTGAATCTTGATGTGAACCCATAATTTCTGCTGTCATGATCTCAGCCATTTTGCTTCTGTCCACCTCACAGAAGGAGAAAGGTTCATGTCATTACTTTGAGTATTTGCACGAGCAGGGATGGACTGGGACAGAAAATCGGCCGTGGCATTTTTGGACGAGGCGGCCCACAAAAATTGGTCGGACTCCCCTCACCAATACACCACTGTTCCATTTAGGGGTCAGATTAGATTAGGGGTGTGATGAAACACTGCGATGTAATATTTGTACAAGATTGGTGTCCATGACTACTACAAAAACAGATTTTTAGCATTAATTTGGTGGAAAAGTCTTTATTTTTATAAAGAGAAGCACAGAATTCAGGTGGCAGGTGACAATTCACAATATAAAAATATTATAAAATATAATGCAGTAATCAGTAGCTTATTATTATTTTTTGCTTAAGTTACTTTGTTTTGGACAATGCAAAGGTTGCTTTTATATTTACATTGCATTGCAGGTTTGCAAAATGCTTTGCAAATGCAAAAAGTGGTGGGGACATGTCCCCAGTTTAAGTGACCCTCCCTCCCTACAGGCTGAGCTACTCCATGCTTCACCCCCACTCTCCTCCTGCTCTCTTTCTCACTCGGCCTTGTCACTTTGTCCCTCTGTTTCACTTACACAAGCCTCCTCCTCTGCCTGGCAGAGGCCACCAGAGCTCTTTTACTCCTTAAAGTGCCTGTGCCTGTTGTTTTGCGCATTTAGCGGCAGCCGTCTGAAGAATTTTTTTGGCACAGAGAGTAGTTGGGGCTAGTAAGAGATGTGATTGGGCCAGCCCAATGTCAGTATAGAAAATTACCCAATGGGCCGCTGTCCGTGCTTTATGGGCCGATCGTTGGCCCGTTTTTTAAAAACAGTTGTAAATAAATAATTTATGTTACACCAGCCCCAAAGGTGCATCGGCCCGCCCGGTATACCAGATTACCAGTCCAGCCCTGTGCACAAGTGAAAAAAGGAAATAAAAGGCCTATGTTAAGTCATTGAAAAACTAGCTCAAATAAAGACTTTGACAGAGTTTGGAAAATCTGCTTATATTTCCGGCAGAGAGTTAGATGATAAGATCAATATCACTCTTGTTTGTCTGCTAAATATAAGGCTACATCCAGAAGCTAATTAGCTAGCTTAGCACAACACCCCTTGTCAACATCTCAAAAGATCAATAATTAACGTGCTATATTTGGTTTGTTTAATTTGTACAAAAAGCAAAGGGTAAAACCTGTTAGGCTATGTGCCGCAATGCAATAATAGGGCACAGAAACCCCTGTAAATTGTCATTTCTACATTATGTATGGATTAAAATAAATGAGATATAATGTAAATCAGTTAGCTTAAGAGGTGCTGGTAGACAATTACTGTTACCTTCAGACAGGACCGGGCTACCAATTTTAAGTCTTTGTGCTAATATAAGCTAACTGACTACTTACTA